ATTCTTTTAATTATTTTTTATGTTTCCTTCTTATTATTATCAATTTTGTATTAAAGAATAATTTTACAAAGGAAAGAAACATATATGGACATATTTTGCATATAATTATATATATAATAATTAGGTATATGTGAAACTTTTTTTCCCGGGTCTATCTACAATGGGAGTAAGTCGTAAGAAATTGACCAATCATAGACAATAATTCTTTTTATATTTGTTTATAATTGATCAACTTCTTACGGCTTACGACTTTAATTACTATACTCTCATTGTAGATGGACCTTAAAGGACTGTCTACAATGAGAGTAATAAGTCGTAAGCCGTAAGAAATTGACCAATCATAATTGATTATTCTTTCTATATTCGATTATATAAGCTATTATTATAAGCTATTATTATTATTATTATTATTATTATTATTATTATTATTATAAGCTCCATATAATTTATAATTGGTCAATTTCTTACGGCTTACGATTTACTACTCTCATTATAGATGGACCTGTAGATTTCTTGCGCTGCTACGAAAAGTGGCAGCAACACTGGAACCGTTCTATTGACGCTCAAGGATCCTACTTTAAAAAATATTAAATGTATTTTTAATAAAACGGTTTTTCCAGAATTAGTTTTATTTTGGGACAGACATGTATTTATATTTAAACGAGATATATATATATCAAAAATATTTGACCACGAATTGATGAATTCGAAATTAAAGAGAAATTGAGGAAATTTGTTACTTTATATAAATATATGATCTTGTTAATCATATATAAATACTAATTCTTTTTTAATATTTTCAAAAACTTTATTGATATTATTTAGTAATATACACATGATTGATTATTTGGTTTTCTCGCGTCAACTCACTTTTGATTATCTAAATTATATATATCTTCATCAAACTTCAGCCGAATCTAAAATTTTTGGCAGGTTATATTATACGTAAACAGAAAAATTTTTAATCTGTCATTTCTTTTGATGTTGTCAAAATACCATTATAATATTTAAGTTAAGCGTTTATTCTCGAAATTGCCTGATTAAGATATTTGAAAAAAAAATAGTTATGTATCTGATATATCGCTTCTTTACTAGCATAATCTTCACGGTGATAAATGCGACTATTGTATTGTATATGTGTCAACGCGTAAGTTACAACTATTTTTATGTATTCTTTTATATTAAAATTCTATTGTAAATGAAAAATACGTTGTATTTTATACTCGTATTTTACACTTTATTAAAGAGTACTAGCCATTATATGCACACGAAGACAAATATATTTCATATTAAAGTTTAATTACCATATTACAAATACTTGGTTATACAATATACATTATAACATTTCAGTTTTTCCGAGTGATGAGAGCACATTATCAGATTATGGCCGAAGCCGAGAAATTTAATTCAATTGTAATACATGTGAAAGCAAACGATATACCTTAAATTTTCTTTAATTTACGCATACAATTACTTAAATCTTTATATTTTACATGGAATTAATATTATAAGTAATATAATCCAAATAATATATTGGTATAATATTCTATAGATTTCTGAATCACGTGCGAGCCTCAATTATATCAGCTCGAAGGTTTCCGAAGGAATGAATCAGGTATACTTCGTATAATTAAATTATCTTCAACAATTAAAGAATGGCACAACACATTAATGTCGATAATTTTTAATATAATTACTCGTACAGATGAAGGAGGACATTGCCAGAGAATTGTTCATTACCGATCATTTAACGAAATTTAGTTCGAGAGTTGGTCTGTTGTTGCAACGTTATTCCGAATTGGAGGAAGGATTGCTCGAGGTACAATTATATTAAACGATAAATTAATGACTAAGCTTTTACTTTTAATTTAAAAATAAATAAAACTTCGATGTAGATTGTAGTAAACTTGGGATAAAACAGTATCTCGCAATAAAATAATACAAAACAGAACAAAGGATGCATTTCAGATGCTATATCCTTGTAAAAAAAATCGAAAACGATAAATAGAAAACGATAAAAACGATGTAATCGTTTTTAATCGTATAAGTTATGAACCGTGAAAGAATTATATATATATAAACAATTCATTAGGATAATGTTTTAATCATTTATATATGATAAATTTCATCAAAACAGTATAAAGCAATAAGTTACTTTAGAAATTCTATTGATATTTTTCACCGATTAAAATTGCTTTTATCAGATAATGATAGAAAACGATAGGAAACGGTAACATTTCTTTCGGAATAGAAAAAGAACGATAGAATATTTGGCAGATCCTATAAGTTCCTATCGTTTTCTATTGGTTTTTTTTTAAACATAAATATATCACAAATTATCAAATAAAATATATTATACAGAGTGCATTATTATTATAATAAATATAATATTTTTTAAAATCAAATTTTTTTTAAAGAATTTTATTCCGTTTCCTAATTATTATTATAGTTTAGCTCAATTAAAATGTGTAAGACATGATGTCATTATATGCATTAATTTTTTTTATACTAGCTTGTCTTTTCTGAGAAGCAAGACATTAATAAATCCATTCTTTATCCACTTAAAAAATTATGTACATTTAAATTTGCTTATAAGGTATAAAAGTTAAAAGCGTGATTTTTATATCAGCTAGTAAGAATGAATTACAATGCGAAGAGCGTGCGGATTGAAACGCCGGCTGACATCAATGAGGAAGTCAAATGCATTCTCATGGCAAGAAAAAGATCGCAACAGCAACAGCAATTACAGCAGCAATCAGACCGTCCGCGAACGCCGAGAAGATTGCGAGCAAATACTTCCACAGAAGTGAAAGATTCTCAGCCGCATAATTCCATTGTGAGTTCGAAGTTCCTTACGTTACAATCACACGATACCGATCTCTCAAACATGACGATGCTTGAGAAACAAGAAAGACCACGTACGCCTGCATATCCAGAGGTTCAGCTGTTGAATGATTCGAGACCGGTAATTGATGCAAAACCCATTGGCTTTCGACCATCCTGGAAATGCGAGACTTAAAATGACCATCGGACAAGTTTATTGTCGTATTTCTTTTGATCTCTTCTTTTTTGATAATTGTCATTGTTCGTAAAAATGCAGAAAAAATTGTATCTGTGAAATATAATAAATAAATATGTTTTCTGTGTCCGGCCAAGTATTTCTGTGTAGCACAAAGATATTACACTATTGTAAAAAATATTGCTATCAATACCAAAGAGTCAATACAAAGATAATTATAATTGTAAATGATTGATCAAAATTATAATTGATAATTATAATTTTAAAAATTATAATTGATAATTATAATTTTAAAAATTTCAAAATTTCTACATAATAATGATTGAAGACGATATAAAAAGGATGCAAATGTCATATCCTCAGAAAATAATTGTTCATTAAAATAGGCTATATAATATTATAAAATATAGATACTTATATTTATAAGGTAAAAACTATTCTAAGAAAAGGTTGTATATGTACTGTGTATTTTATTTTACATGTGTATTTTATTTTAAATAATGTCACTTAAAGAAATAATATTTTTAATATTTTTATAATTGTGTGATATTTGCAACCTTTTTATGTTATTCAATTAGTCAGCAATTTATTATCATTTTTTTTATTTTATTTAGATAGTACATTTTTGCAGAAGACAGCACACGAGTAGAGAGGACCACGTGATACATTTTATCCGATCACTGATCGTTCAAATTTCGTCAAAGTGACGAAATTTTTAAATCATTTCTAAATTACAAAGAGAGAAGAAGTATATCTTTGCCGAGTCATACTTTGGACATAAAGATATTTGAGTATTTTTGAACAAGAAACTCTCCTTCAAACAAGTTTTTCTTAAGGAGAAATGACACATCATAATGTTTGTATTTCCTATCATTTTTCTTCCTAAGATTTGATTGCATTCAATTTTGCACTACATAATTCTGAGATTCATACACACTGAGTTGAGTTAATATATACAATTAATTACACATCAATAGTAACAGACTGTTAATTCAGATGTAAATTAGCCATTTTTAAGATACAGCGTGTTTCAAAAAATTTTTGAAGATACAGCGAGAATAAGAGCTTCTTTCGAATAAATCCAATTATTTTATTTAAGAATTATATTTGAAAGTAAATGATAACTCTAATTTATTCTCATGCATACTATAGACATCTTTATGCAGAAAACTTTTCGTGAATTCAAATTAGATAAAAATAATTTTCTTGTATTCGTCAATTTTGCTTAATGAGGATGAACTAACAAATATTTAACTTCAGCCACTGATTCTATTTCTATTAAAAATTTTTGAAATAGGCCTTTACTGTGTTTAATTTTTATTAAAGTTAGTAATTATTAAATATTTTTAAGAATATATCAGCTAAAAACAATTTCTATCAAAAAAATCTACATTAAATTTAATTGAAACATGCGGAAGTTTATTTATTTTCATCAAAGTTTAATTCGTTGAAATTGATAATTTTTTAATACTAAATTTTTGCATAATTATCTTGAAAGTGAAATAGTTATCATGTTTCTTAGTTCATCCTCTAATATTTGGGATTGAAAGTACGTCTAATGATTTTTTTTGCATATCGAGAAAAAGAGATTACGATAAGCAATTTTGTCAATTAAGAAATGTGCTACAGCTTTACTTGAAAAAATAATTTCACGATTGCGTTTTGCAATGTAATAAATTCGATGTAATAAGTTTGGTTTTAAATCTGTAAGCCATTAGAAAACAGCAACGGCAAAGAGATGATTTTAATTAGTGTGAGATATTTTTCAAAATTTTGCGTAGATTAAACGAGTTTTTTTAAAAAAATAGAGCAAGTGTACACAATTCGCGTTCTGTGATGTTTCTCGCTGCGTTTCTCTTTGCCCTTCGCCCTTTCTATGCCCTTCTCGCAACCCCTTTCCACCCGTCTCTTCTATCCTGCGCCAATTAACGTCGCTGTCTGTCTGCCAGATAATTATTGAGCCTCTTGACAAATCCGCTCCAACTAGCTCGATCGATCTCGTCGAAGTTCCGCTTGAAGAAGCTGTCGAATACGGGATCGATCTCGTCGATGTTCCTTTTTGAAAAACGATCGAACACCGATCGGTCGATCTCGTCAAAATTGCCAGGCCGTATGTTCATCACGCTATTCCGCCTGTAATAATAGACACACACTGTAACGAATCTGTAATGTAGGAGTAGTTCAGTCTCGGATATTTTATTTCAAAACGGAATGTTATATGAAATAATAAACGACATTTATTTTAGAAACACAATAAAATATTATGAGAAATACAAATCGGTTAAGGGAAAGAAAATATAATTAAATATGGAAGTTTATATATATATTTTATATATATATATATCCGTTGTTTTTAAATTTACTTTTTAAATTAAACAAATATTATTGTTTCATCTTACAGTTTAAACGAGATTTTTTTTAACATAAAATACTTTTCTAGGCAGACTTGTGAGTTGCGGTGTACTAATAAATAATAGGTACTGCAACAAATACAATATAAATAATTCTTCCTTCTAACGAAAATTGTCACATTATACATACTTTTATATGAAGATGCGACTGTGAGTATGATGTACTAATAACAATATTACAACAAATATAAGTATAGTTTCTTCTTCTGACGAAAATTGTCAGAGCGAAGGAGTTAGCAATAGAAACTGGTCAGACGCGATGAAGAAAATATGGTTTCTTATAGTCAGACTAGTCAGAAGCGAGGTTTGATCAAAACAGACATTCCATTTTTGCCCCCTTTTTTCAGCTTGTTTGGACGAACGTAACTGAATATCCGTGACAATACCTGACATCTGACGTTTATAAAAACAATGGCGTTGAAGCAAAAAGGCGACAGACGCAGAGAAAATGCGTTTTTCCAAATCACCGTGTAAAATAACGATTGTTCAAAATATTGGGATCACTTTAATTCTATCCTGTTACTTTTCGTATTTTTTCAATATTTTATTTTGCAAAATGTATTGTCCTTTTTAAAATATCTACTCACGAAAAGTTTTACTAATACAAGTAGTCGCGCAGTTGGATATGGTCAGACTCGGAAAGCAGATGTAAACACGATAACACTGTTTTATAAAAAAATTCACAAAAACGAAAGTAAGTAATCGTTTCCCGTAGTTTCTTTTTGGACGCTGAATATGATTTCCTTTACCAAATTGTTATTACGTTACAATTTCGAGCAATTTGTAAGAAAAACTATTTTAGTGCGTTCTGGCATACTACAATTTAGCTCGATATGTGACGTGTTAAAGAAATTTTATTGGAAATAAAATTTAATATGTTAGTCAGGATAAGAGACCAAAGACGAGCAAAATATAGGTGTCAGTTAATATTTAAATATAACTATATGATTTTACATACCCTGGCTTCAACGAACTGCGAGCCGTTACTATCGGATTCAATGCAGCATTTGATTGAAAGGGGGGTGATTTATTAGATACAAGTAAGTATCAGTACTCAGCATCAGTATTAAATTATTTAACAGCGTGATGATACGATTCTGTTTCAATCAAATGCTGCGTTGAATCCGATATTAGTTAATTAATTTGTAACATTTCAATTGTATTTAAAAATTATTTATATAAATATATCTTATTTCTTAAAGTAATTTTTACACTTTAATTTCGAATTAAACATATGATTTAATTTAAATCTAAGAAATTTTTAATATTAACTAAAATCAAATCAGAGGTAAATTATTGTTAATAATTTTATTGAATTATCTAATTCTTTTTTATTGGATTATCTAATAATCTAATTATCTAGTAACCGCTCGTAGTTAATTCGTTGAAGCTAGAGTATGTAAAATCATAGTTAAATATTTAAATATTAACTGACACCTATATTTCGCTCGTCTTTAGCCTCTTGTCCTGACTATTGTTTACAAGCGAACTAAAACTAAATTTATTTAGTTATTTATTAAATATGTTGTTAAGATCTTTAAACCTTAAAAAACGATGTGTTTTGTCGATGGTTAAAAAGATATTTACGTGTAATATAAAATTCATTCTTTATTTGTGATTAATATAGAGACTAAGGATTTAGCTTTTTTTCAAGTTTAAGGATAAATTTTTCAAAATTATGTGTAGATCTGAATTGGATAAACAGAATTGATATTCAACATCAAAATATGGGAAATAATTATCTTCATTTTCGTGCTCGAAAAAAATCATTTTTTGTTAAATACAATATAATCGGATGAAAAATATACCTATGACACGATTGTAAATCCGACGCACATCTCTTTCTGTAGACTATTTCTTTTCTCTTATTTTTTCGGAAAACAGATTGTTCGATAGGGATATTCGTCGATTTGTGAAAAATTACGTGGGAAAACGACAATCGAGATCGTCCTTATAATACAGCTATCAATGGAAAAATCAACAAAATGAATATATCGAATTTGCTATGGAAATCAATTTCCTTGTATGCGACCGTTTAAGGCGACAGATAGCGATTTTATCGTCAGAAATACGTATAAAAGTAACGAGATTACGAGGGAAGAAATAAAATGTCTATGTTGTATACAGCAAAGAATTGGCAATGCGATAACTTTTTCTTTGTACTAATAATAATTAAGAAAGCAACTTGTATTTTTGCTAGCAATAAGAATAACAAACTACGTCAATTAAACGATCAAATTTAAATCACAAATTAAATAATTTATTCACATTTTATTCAAAAAGAATTGATTATATTAATTTTAAAAATCCTGAAACGTTTCGAACTTTACTTACAATTAGTCATTAGTTATACCATTAATAAATTAAGAATTACCCGGACAAATGTGAAACAAAAACATAAAGAACCCATTTAACAGTCAGCACATTAAAAAATTTGTGTGACAAATTTCTATCAAAAATTAAAACTGATAACGCTTTCTTGTAACGTGAAGCTACAAGACAAAACTATCCGTCGTTTACAGGTGAGAAAGAGTAAAAAGAATTATCGAAATAAAACTTGTCAAATTGTGAAAACTTTGTATGCGTCCATAGTGTCCAAATAATAAGTTTCAAAATATGGAATCATAAATTGAAAATGGATAGACTGAACTGTGTATTTGAACTATATACATAACGGATTCAATTCTCAAAAGAATACCGAGTTTCTTGATGATTTTTTGTTACTGTTTACTAGATGTGCTCTCCAACAAGTTTTAAAGTTTGATTTCTTCTACGAGGATAAAGCGAAAAATTCTCGGCCTGACATAGTGATGGCAGACCGGAGGTCTCAAATAGCTATGATTTTTCTTAAGTTTGATCCTTTACAGGCCTAAATATTTCAGATAGATGCGGTTAGTATAGTTTGTCTCCTGTGTCGAGTAAAGCAAACAAGTTTCTCAAAGAATGAATACCTAAAAGGAGTTTTACGACTACAATTGAAGACATTCGATTTTA